TCTAGTTTATCAAAATGTGTATTACGTGACCCAGAATAAGCCCAAGTGTGGCTGATAAAAAGTGGTCTGTTGACTCGAAACATGCACTTATCCCGGCACAAATGCAATTCTATTTTCCGACCATCTTCAACATAGTTTTCGAGCTCTGGTTGCGACTTCGATTTTCATCTTCAAAGTTCTTCCGCTCTGCTTGCATTTCTGTTGTTCAAACACGCGTCTTATGCACACACAAAACAAGTATCAAAAAATCCGCTACAATTCTGAATCTTCTGTCAATAAATGTACTCAAGTTTGACATGCACGAGTATGACTCGGACTCCTAAAATAATCCACCATTCTCCGCAATGCTACGGCTGATGCAAGGTTACATACTGAGAAGGTACTCGTCGGTTCGCTACAAAATAGATAGAGTGAATTTTCCACCTCATCCAGCTAGGGTTTAAATGTTAACAGTTCAGCCAGAAACCCGATATGAGAAGAGCACGCGATTAAGCACTGGGATCGAACAGTAGCAGAATAGAATTAACAGATCGCGTTCAACATCATTTCACAGCACAGATGGCACGCTCAGCAGCATTTCAACCTCACGAGAAATCGAGATTTTTTTCTTCCTGGCCTGTTATGCAGTCTGGCCGGTGAACAGACAGACAGCTGCTGGCTTAGGCGGTGTGTTTTTGACGGAGGCGTTAACGTGCAGCCAGTAACTGCGCTCCTTGGCATTTAGATCTCATCTCCACGGACGTGGAGGTTTACTTTATTTGAATTTAACATTTTTGTTTGTGTGCATCTGATCTTTTCCATTACACAACTTGTAAAAATCTTACCAGTTAAAGAAAAAAATGAAGTCTGCCTTTTAGCTCCACTGTTCAGATACGCGAATATTTACTCTATTTTTCTTATTTATGAGTGCACGTCTTCTGTCTGCCTCTAATACATGAACCTAGAAATAATGTTTCCTAATGAGAAGTTTTTTCTTGATTCCAAAAGTGAATTGTCACTGCTATTATTTCCTCGCAGATTACTTAGTTGCAATACTATTTAGCTAACACAGACAGTGTATATGTGTAGAGTTTGGCTTTCTGCATTACTTAGTGAATAAAATGAATCAATTTGTTTTCCTTCTAAAAATTCAGATTCTATTTTGGAAAAAAAGTATTTGCTTAACCTATGAACAAATACCGTGTTTTCCAGAATGACTACTTGAAAACAGACGGTGACGTGGGTGACAGAATGTTTTAATGGGTTATTTTAAATTGCTATATGTGCATCGCTTTTTGCAGAATCATGCTGGCATGCTCCTGTCCAATTATAATGTGACTGAGGGGTGCTGCAAAAATGCATAAGATTAAGATTTGGAAAAGAAGGAACAAGTAGGACTTGAAAAATTTTGTGATACATGTAAGGTGCGCCAAAGCAGTGCATGTGAAATTTTAAAAAATCGTTTTGAGAACTTCAAGTATTGGCACTGCTAAATGAAATGTATGTGTACTCGTCAATCGCATTTTTATGTGAATGTAACATTTTCATTAAGACTATTAATATTATGATGGAGTTATTGTAGTAAACAGATTATGACATTTTATGTGTTTGTTTCTTATTTGAGCCGCATTTTGTATTATACAGTGTATGCTTTGAAATTCATAACAAGAAAAAAAAAACTATTTGCCTATTCTTACATGTTATGTATTGGGAGCAAACCATTCCAAAACGTAAACCAAACAAGAAAAAAACTTCACAGGAATGATATTTTTTAGGTTTTGAAATTTTCACATGGACTGGTGCAATCCACCTAACCAGTATAATAAAAACCCGTTCAAGCAAGGGCCACTGAAGAACGGAGGTAGGGTAAAGTTGCATGGTTTAACGGCCAGATTAAAAAAAAAACCAATACGTGTTTAAAATCTTTCCTGAATCTTCAGTTGCAGTAATCAAGAATATGACTCAGCTAACTCGTAAAAAATCTCAACATTATTTTCAATGTCCCGTCGCCTGACGAATTTCCTGTATGGCAGGTACCCTGAATTACATATGGTGATATATCGAGTGAAGGGGGATTATATGGGAGGGATAACCAAGGATGAGATTGAGCACAGTTGAACACAAACGTTCAACATCATCGATGCCGTGCTCGTAATTAACGATTTGTTATAAAATATTTATACGTCCTCTCTAGGTATGCAAACAAAAAGCGCATGTTGTCTCTGAACAATCTCTGTTAGTTCAATTCTTGAGTCTATTGTCTGTATTCTACTTAATTGATCTTCCTTAGGTCGTTCACGTAAAGGTGTTCACAAATAGTAGTACCAGAATGAATACCGCCTATCTTGTTACCCTGTTTCACTTGTACGAAACCTTCGTTTGCTTACGATTTCAAGCAACTGGACAATGAGTTTAGGAGATTATTGCTACAAACCTTCGTTGTCATGATCTTTTTTTTCTGTCGTTTTCATTTACCAAAACAAAAGTTATGTTTCGGGATTTTGATTGTTAAATCTTTGTTTTCGATACACCGATAAATTAAGCAAACGACTCTATTACGACAATCGTAATAAATACCAATTTATGATTGCTACAGTTAGAAAATATTCGTCTCTTAGGGCAACCGACATGTATATTAACTTTAAGGCATGAAAAGCAAATAGTATTCGTGAAATACTCTTTGAAACGCACATATCAGTATATAGCCCGCGGGATCACGTACAGTGTAACAGCTACATGCTCCTCAGTGTCCGATACCAATTTTAGCCGATTAATTTATTCACAACACTGTATTTACATGTTCTTTTCCAAATTATTATTATTTTTTTATATTTGTTTTAACACATATTAGCATGAACGTTTTTCTCGTCTTCTCTCATTATCCGTATACATCATAAACATCTCTCCTCTATTTCAGATACAAATGTTTAGATTTCACAGTAACTGAAATAACGTGTAACATCCATCTAAAAGATGGACCATTGTTTGATAGACATATTAGACTTTTCACATTTACCTTTACGTGTAAAATGGATGGGATGACCTAGATAAAACAGTGCCAAAACTAATTATGCCTGACGTTCGCACGTAGCTCATTTCTAGCCATGTTAACTGTCTTAACTTAGGAAAGGGAAGTTTCCGACAGTGACACATTATTTCAACGGAAACTATTTATCGATTTATGAGAGTTCAGTCTGGCATTAATACAACCGGGTCCTTATCTTCAACGCGGGAATGTCAAACATTTGGTCGTCAGACGGCCTAACGGTAGTGTTCATGGTGACAGTACATCTTATCAGCCGTCAGTTTTCTAGAAAGCTAACGACTTGTACGGTTGCTGGTGTGACGTGATAGAAAGTCCGCTTCCTTCATTTGTACTGGTAACCCTCGTCCTAGATTTTGACCCACTTGGGTCTGGTTAACCCTAACCATTAACTAAATGGAGAGCAGGCTTTCTGTTATACGGACCCTCAGTTTCGTTACAAGGCTAACTCCAATATTCCCCCGTGCAGTCAGGACCGTTTTGTAAGTCTTTCATTATTAATTAGCGATCAAATAGTGCAGAAGGAGCATTCAGAGTGGTTTTTGATAAAACTGTGCTCTAATGAAACAGAAAAAAGACACTTGGGTACTAATGTTAAATCGTTGGCTATCCATTTGTCATCCAGACCACCGGAGTGATTATGATCCAATTCAAATCCACTGCGAGCAGTTTAATTGAAAATAATTTTTGTCAAAACGGTATGAATGCTCTGGAGTAATTCAAAACCACGTTCAAACCTGGCCATTATTCCGTAAATTTATTTTATTCGGTGCCGCAATGCAAGTGTTCGTCTGTCATAATTTCTGACCCCACTTCCCTCAAATTTCGACTCATTTTACGTTAACGTCGCTAGGCCTTGGGCCATCTCGGAAATAACCGTTGAAGCCTCTCTTCATCTTGTGGCTGACGGAGAGTAAAGACCGCTTTTGGTCTGTAATGATACGTGTTTGATCGCTGCATAAGTGCCAGAATGCAATAATATTGATTTTGTTTCAGTTTATTTTTTGTTTGTTGAATGTCGAAGCCGATGACAATTCCGCATTCCTGTACATCTCAAGTTATCTCTGAAGCTTAGAGTTGATGTTTCATTGAATATCACATCACATCCTCTGAACTGGCACTGAAATGACTGCAGCTCACATACATTGCATTAGATGTTCTCATGGTCAAATGCGATCTGTATTCACCCATGTGACTCACAGCACCTGACACATTCCTTCTGAACTGCATCTAGAATTGAAAAGAAATCGGAAGAACGTGTGCCTTTTATGTTCTATCATTATCTATCAAAGGCGAAAAAATCTTTGGATGCTAGGGGGTCGCCTTTTTCAACCACGTAAGTCGGAGCGAATTTAGGAAGCCGGGAGAGCTAAGTGAAACCCGCAATGATTCGCTAATTTTTTTACTGAATGGTTATGGAGGTATGCGGGGAGCACATGAACACGCGAGTCAAATAAAAATTTTGCAAAAAATTTAAAAGTGGCTTTGACGAATTTAAAAAAACATTCATTTAAAAATTCGAAGATGAATCAAGACAGCACTACAGTACATATAAATGTACAGCAATTTGAGTAGAAAATTTGAGAGCAGAACTTAAAATGACTTTATATGACGAGGCTTTATTTTATGATATCCCAGAAACCTGAAAATGCTACAGGGTACATACAATTTTCCTTTCGTATTTTCAAAGATGAGTGTATCTTTAAATGTAACAAAATAATTAAATACATGATTTTTGAAAGTGAAAAATAGTGCTGTACTTAGTAATCTACTTAAATAAATCAATCCACCGAAATATAACCAATGCCATTTATTACCTTTGATAATGTTTACCAGTATGTCAAGAAATAATCAGAGTACCTCTGCAGCATAATACATAAATGTATGGAGAAGAGAATAAAAAGTTTTCATGATTCACCATATTTAGTGCGTTGTAATTAAAGAGTGAAAAACATTTCAAAAGATTCATCCAATATTTTCACTTAGGTGGACCTCTAGGACCATTTGAAAGTACACACTGATCAATAAGTGGAACACAATTACGCTCCCGATTTCCCCAACGACCAAGGAAGTTAAGAAAGCTGAATTTCCCTGTAAACTGTCCTTTGGCGGCCATCTTGACAACTTTGAGGTTATCTGCAGTCTTCCATGCTGTTCCGGCGCTACAGAGATCTTTCAACTTGTCTCCGTTGATGAGTTTCTTGTACACGTGGTTCCCCGTGTTTGGCCACATTCCGTGGGACCCTTTGGCTGCGTAGACTTGGGCGTGTGTGCAGTCAGTCATCTGAACGACCCGATCCCCTTTCTTGAATCCGCTACCATTCCACAGAAACTCTCCTCCAAATTTATTGGTGGTGTCTGAACCGTGGATCGACAAATATATGGAGTAAATTTTGTTATTATTAAACTTTATCTTTACGTGTTCCCAGTCTCCAACGTGATTACCAAAGGTCGAGTACCCTCCTACGCATCCGTTAAGTCGAGGACATAGGCAATGGCCCCACGCCTTGAAGCACGGGCACACATTATCAAAATAGAACCCCACACATGCCCGTTTTCCTCTGTTGTATGGAAAGAAAAACCAATAAGTGATTTCAACAACGCTACCCTTGTCCTCGTATATAGCGTATGCTGGGGCGCTGGCAGGATCCTGACCTTTAAAGACGTCAGGTTCTCGACAAGAGGCACAAGATAATGGCGTCTTAGTTTCCAGGTAGCAGTTCTTGTTACAAGTGGGCAGTGTGCTCGGGGTGACGGAAGTCGGACTGCCGCCGCGTAAGTTGACGTGTTGGAGGAAATAGTCGACGCTGGATGGTTTCCATTCCTCTCCCATGGCCAACCGGACCACCGGCGCCCACAATTTCGCGGCAGTAACGATATCGGCGTGACTTCGTCCACTGAGGCCAGCTGTCCGCTGAGCCGTGCATTTTTTCACTGATTCTATGCTTTCTTTTATTGATTTAGAAATTCCCAGCAATCCACCATTGTTTGGCGACGAATAAAATATCACAGCCGCCAATAGAACGTACAAACGAGCTGAAACCGCCATCTTGAAACAATAATTTGGAGCAGAATAAGGAAATCTGTGTTGGCAGATAAACTTTCGTCTTTGTGTTCTACAAGACAAAAAAAGCAATAGGACATGAGTATACGTGTACATGTAACAAGAGGTAAACATATACGTATGTGTATAAGAAGTAAACACTTTGCACAAACATTTAAATTTTACTTTAGCAAAACATTTGTTCCATTTCTGCCAGAAAAGGTTTACCAATGTCACCCATGCCAAGTATAGGAATTTAAACCAAATGCCATGTTAAGTTCTCATGTTAAGTTCTTGTTAGAGTGTAGATACAGTTTAACATGTTATCAACATTACAATATACTGTGTTACTCTTATATATATATATATATATATATATATATATATATATATAGTGCGTATTCCAATTAATGGATTCGAACACCTTTACAACAGTGCCAACAATTTTATGACCTACTTATTTATAGTTACACCATGTGATATCTTTTAATTTCATCCAGCTTACCTCTTGTATATTAAGAAATATAAGGCACCTAATACATATTATACGAGCCTTACAATGTTGATATTCTAAGCTTTCTTCTCTGTGTTCATTATAGTAAATATGAATAACATAAAATGTGAAGAAAAAATGACTATGGTTACCTATGGTTAGTCAAACACTAAAAAGAAATAAAGAAATCGAAATGCTGAGAGCCAAGACCTACCGACACGTGTGTAATATTTAAATTGAACATATATACATACGCATATAAATGGCTACATACTCCCATCATATAAATGGATTTTACATAAGCATTTGTTAACATTGCCGACATCAGCTCACAATTTCCTTATCCAG